TTTCCTGAACTCTCTCTTGATGTCATTCCATACTGTTCAACAATGTAATGTGAGTAAGAGAGTTCTTTTACTTTCAAGTCTCAAAAGTTGTATGGTCCCTCTGATGCTAGGTCGTGTTCCCTTCTTCAGATTTATCCATGGATTCATTCAAAGCTTCCAAAGTCTCTTGCTCTTCAAGTACATATTGGATTTTCATACTCCACATCTCATAATTGTCGATATTCAATTTTTATCCTTTGTTGAGTTCGAAAATAATATTTTTTGATGCAGATGTCATTTTTTTATACATATAGATATTATGAACGTTAATCAATGTCTAACAACATATATATACATCCTTAACATGTATTAAGTATTCTAACAATAATCTCATATTGCACATAGAATCAAAAGATCGTTATGTTTTCAATCATCATCTAAAATTCCAATATTTGATTATTATTAATATAATTAACCATGTAAGGTATTACTTTATGTTACTAAAATCTTTTAGTTTTATGAAAATTCATGCACGCCAAGTAAAAAATTCATATCATGCTATCATATATATATATACATGAATAAATATGAAAAACATGAACAATATTTCATTAGCAAGAATAAAGTAAATAATTTATAAGCAAGTTACCTTATTCTAATCATATGTTTAGGAAAAAAATTTCTAAGCTTATTTTTAAGGTCATCCTTAAGAAAATTTGTGTTTGTTTTAGGTAAATAAACACCAACAATTTTATGACGTTCTTTTTGTGTGGACACCCCTATTGAAGCACCAACTATCTTTCTGGCACCTCAATTAACATATTTCTTGATAAATTTGTTAACTCTGAATTTATATACTTGTTCTTTGTCCTAACAAAGCTCAAACAAAGCCTCGATGACTAGGGATATGTAAGCTTCCCTTAAGAGCATCATATTTTTCTTTATCTTTTAATAGACCTCACTTCCATATAATTTTTTGAATCTTTACATTGATTTTAATAATATAATTCACTAAAAGTTCAACTTTAGTTTGTCTTCTAATATCTTTCGTATGAGTATTTCTTAAGTTTTGTATCATATGATTATCTCTCTCTCTCTGTTGAGGAGTGTCTTAATAGTCATAGGAGTTCTTATCATTCCCACTATTGATTTTCTATAACACATAGAGAAACTAAAAAATGTGATAATAAACTCTCTTTATAAGTTAATTAACTAACAATTAATTCATATAAAGTAGTTATCACAATAAATTAATCAACTAATAATTAATTTATTCAAATATGACAAAATTAATTAACTAATAGTTAACGCATTTAATGTAGCTACTACAATAAATTAATCAACTAATAGTTAATTTGTTCCTATATGATAAATTAATTAACTAATAATTAATTTATATAATAAGACATGTCAAATTGTTTGATAGTTAAATATCAAATTAT